GTCTATGGAATTCCTTTAGGAGAGAAAATATCCTGAGTGAACAATATCTAAAATGTCTATGGGTCATTTAAGCATTCATGTAGAAATAACTGGCTGATCTAGAGGTATTCTAGCCCCTTCTAACCTCATAGTTTCTGAATAGGAAAATGCTAAGAAGTCTTTTATATTTGTTGAAATAAATACAACAGAATGGGTTTGGAATAGGGAAGATTGTAATGGTTTCCTTTTCATTGCTTGATCACCTACACCAGAGACTTTCCAGGCAGACTTCAAAGTAACTTTTGAAGATGTTTATAATAGAATAAAATAATGAGCAACATTTCTAGCTACCTACTCTCTCAGTCTTTCAAAGCTTACCCATTTCAGAAGTTCAAAAAATCTTGCTTCATTTTCCCAAAATGTCATAGTTTCCCTTTTGTGTGTTCATACGTATGTTTTCCTACAGTTGCTGATAGAAACAGTATATACACTGGTACAGAGTTAATTTTTTAATGAGATACTATAAATATTAACCTGCAATCTGCTTGTTTCATACAACAATATTTCACAGAAAAATTTAAACATATTTACATGTAGTTTTAACTCATGCTTATTTTTTCAGACTGGAATCTCACATGGAAATAAACAGAAAGAAAAACATATGAATCATAAATGCACAGCTTAATTAGTTTTTACAAAACAAACAAGTATATCTATAGCTCAGAACAAGATACAGACATTACAAGAATCCCAGAAGCTTCCCTGTTGTCTGGTTCCAATCATCACTTCCCTCCAAAGACAACCAGATTTGGGGTCCTTGGGTGGTTCGGTCCGTTAAGCGTGTGCCTTCAGCTGGGGTCATGATCCCAGGGTCCTGGGATTGAGTCTCCTGCTCGCTGGGACTCCCAGCGAGGAGCCTGCTTCTTCTCCCTCTCCCTCTGTTCCTCCCTCCTCCCACCCCGCTTGTGCTTTCTCTCTTACTGTCTCTCTCTCTCAAATAAATGAATAACATTTTTTTTAAAAAAAGGTAACCAGATTTATCTTTTATCACCATAATTTGGTTTTACCTGCTTTAAATCCCTATATAAATAGAATCACAGAGTAGGCATCTTTAGTGTTTGGTTTCCTTCACTCAGATTATGTTTGTAGAATCCATGCATGTCATTGCACGTAGCAGTAGGTCCATTCTTCCTCACAGCTACAGATTCATTTTTATAAATATAGTCATATATTTTTTATCAATTTTACTGTTGATGAAAATGAGGGTTGTTTCTAATTTTGAGTATTATGGAAAATGCTGCAATTGTTCTCATCTTTGATACAATTATGTTTTTGTTGTTGCTGGTGGTGGTAATATACCTAAAGATGGAATTCCTGTGTTATGCACTATGCAAAATTTTTGTTTTAGAATATTCTGGTCTATGGCCATACCACCCTGAACATGTCTGATCTCGTTGCATCTCAATAAGAATATTCTGCCACTGGGTTTTTCAAAGAAGTTGTGTAGATTTTCACGCCCATAAACAGTGTATAAGAATTCCATTTCATTATTATTTAGTATTTTCAGTTTTGTTTTGATTTTGATCGTTATCATTACAATGGGTGTGTAGTTATTTTGCTTTGTGGTTTAAATTTTAATACCTTGATACTTTTATAATATTTAACATATTTTCTTATTTCCATTGGCCATTTGGATATCCTTTTTGGTGAAACATTTTTTAACGTTTCAGTCCTTTTGTTAAAATCGGGTTTTCTTTTTTATTGATTTGTAAGAGTACTTTATATATCCTAGATACTAGCAGGGGTTTTTTTTGTGTTTTTTTTTGTTGTTTTTTTTACATATACACACATATTTCCCACTCTGTGATCTCTGTTATATTCTTTTTCAGTCTTTTACTGAGGCCCTCTGACAAACGGAATTTCTTATTTTTATTAAGTCACTGTGCCAATCTTTCCCCTTTAAGCTTAGTGCTTTCACATCCTATTTTATTTTATTTTTTAAGACAGAGAGAGAGAGTGGGACCCCGCGTGGGGGAGGGGGGGCAGAGGGAGACAGAGAGATAGAATCCCAAGCAGGCTCCATGCCCAGTGCAGAGCCCAAAGTGGGGTTCGATCTCACTACCCAGAGATCATGACCTGAGCCAAAATCAAGAGTCAGACCCCTAACCCACTGAGCCACTCCAGTGCCTCTACATCCTATTTTAAAAATGTCTATCCCAAGGTCATGAAGCTTTCTCTTATGTTATCTTCTAGCAGTTTTAGTGTTTTTCCTTTAACAGTGTTCACATTTAAGTCTAAAATCTAATCTCTAATTGACCCCACATTATTTATTGACAGGAATTTTTATTCCCTACTGAATTGTAGTATTACCTTTATTATAAATCAGGTGAACATTTGGACCATTTGGATATCTTTTAATAAAGCACTGGATTAAAAAATAATAATAATAAAAAAATAAAGCACTGGATTTGGTTCATTTTGATAATAATTTGGGGTCCAAATTTTGTGAATTTTCTGTTTGTTACATATTATTTTTTTTCTTATTGGATTGTCTTTTAAAAACTGATCTGTACAATTTTATTAAAGTAGAGATATTAAGCCTTCCTTATAAATGTTTTTAATGTTTTCCTGTTTATTGATTGCCTTTTCACTTTATTATGCCTTTGGCTTTATAGAAATATTTATTTCTTATGTAGTCAAAAGTGACAGTTTTCTCCTTAAAGTCATCTGGGATTAGCTTTTGGTTTAAGAATGTCCCCACAACTTAAGCTTTTATAGATTTCTCATTTATTAGGTTTTATTTTGTATATGTGGATCTTTAATCTGTATGTAACTTATTTTTTATATAGATTGTTACTGGATTCTAACTCTAAGAAAACATTGTAATTATATATTCCATTTTTTAATGACTGGACAGAAATGTCATATACAGTGTATTCTCTTTGGCTGGATCTATTTCTGGACTCTGTTCTGCCATTTTGTCTGTCCCTGTACCAATACCATATTTTTCTGATTATAGAAGAATGATAATATAAAATACAGTAGGCCACAGGTTTTGTGATTTTTTTTTTTTAAGATTTTTTTTATTTATTTATTGAGAGAGATAGTGATAGAGAGAGAGCATGAGAGGGGGAGAGTCAGAGGGAGAGGCAGACTCCCCGCTGAGCAGGGAGCCTGATGCGGAACTCGATCCCGGGACTCCAGGATCATGACCTGAGCCGAAGGCAGTCGCTTAACCAACTGAGCCACCCAGGCGCCCAGGTTTTGTGATTTTGTTAAAACTTTCTGGATCATGCTCACACTTGTATTCTTTTCTGAAATAAGAGCTATGCTATCTCTCTGAATATTTCGACTTGATGAACTTGTTAGAGAACTGAAACATCTCAAAAGAATAGGCACTCGGGAAACCCAAGAGGTCTGCCTGTAAACAACAACAAAGACAGATTTTCAATAGGCATAACTACTCAGACTGAAGCTAACTGAGAGTCACCTAGTGGAGACTCCATCCTGAGTCTATTTTTAATCTAAAGGAATTCTGGAACTAAACCTAACTACTACATTTTTGTCAAAATAAATTATCCACTGCCATGCAAATGGCCAATCTGGCGATGGAAAATAGGACAGCAAACATATGTTTTTAATCAAAGGCATTATAATGGGATGGAAAAGGGTTACTGGTAAAATTGTCTTGATGAAGGCACCCAATTGACTGTTTATAAGTCCTCTTATCACATGGTTTTTCAAACTTGATTGTCCATTGTAATCACCTGGGAGCTTTTTTTTTTTACAATCCTGATGTCCAGGTGAGAGCCCAGAACAATTAATCATCATGGGGAGGGGAGGGGTGGAAACCAGGCATTAGAGTTTTGTCCAACTCCTCAGATGATTTCACTGTCTACCAATGGTAGAGAAACAGTGTTTTAGGAAGAGGGTAAGGATCGACTGAATGGAAATGCAGAAGAAAACAAGAAAAGAAAATCCTTAGCTGTTGCTAGGCCCCTTGCCAAGTTCTGCTTGTAAAGTTCATTTTTCTTTGGTAGGCAATGGGCAGGACTTAGGGTGACCCGGCTACCGCAGGAAGAAGTGCATGATGAATTATACCTGTGGAGGGGTGGGGTGGGCTGGGGGAGTAAGGATACTAACCAAATGAAAGTCACTTCTGACATTTTTAGCAAATAAAGTCATATGAGCTGTTTATAGTCCAATCTAATTCTAGCCTCAGTGGTGGGAGGAAGGGATGGAGGAGGCGGTCAGAGTGAATATACACACTCAAAGAAAGGGTGGGAAGTTTTGGTGAAATCTCCTAAGAAATATGATCATGCTCGGCCTCTGTTCCCCATTTTTTTTTTAAAGATTTTATTTATTTGACACACACAGAGCACAAGTAGGCAGAGCGGCAGGCAGAGGGAGAGGGAGAAGCAGGCTCTCCGCTGAGCAGGGAGCCCGAAGCGGGGCTCGATTCCAGGACCCCGGGATCATGACCAGAGGGGCAGGCAGTCGCTTAACCAACTGAGCCACCCAGGCTCCCTGTTCCCCATTTCTGGTCAGTGCATTCAAGTCAAGATACAACGGTGGGGTGCACACGTGTAAGTGACCCAGCTAGCAAAAGTAAGTGACCCTTCTCCTCAGTGTAGTCATCTTATAAGTGGCAATGCTAAATCATTCATGACCTCACGTGCTGCTTTTAGCAAGCGGCTCCCTAATTGCTCCTGTTTTTGCATCGATTCTGCGCAGCGTGGAAAAGCGAGTCTCCAACTTGCTTGTGGATTTATTGACCACCGGGTCCCTCCTCGGCTTTCACCTTGCAGGCCTCGCCCTCTCTATTTTAGAGTCAGGCGCTGGGAACAACACCTGTTTCCTCCTCTCCAAGCATGGGCTGGACATTTTGACGGCATCCCTTTCAACCAACCCAGGTGTCGGTGTTTGTGTTTTCCAGTTCGCCATCCCTCCCCACCCCCCCTCCCCACGCATCCCTATTTCCGTGGCTGTGGGCCCCGGGGAGGAGAGAAATCCACGTTCAGACACACCGGATCTCCAGCAAGCTACCTGCTTTGGAGAGCATCAGGCGGACGGCGCGGACCCACCTTCCTCCCCAAGTTTGGGGCGTGGGGGAGCCGGGACAAGGGGCGGGTGGCTATGGCTCAGCCGGGGGGTCCGGAGCAGACCCGGGAAGATGCCGCTGGGGACGGATTCACCGACGTCATCAAGAGTCGCGCTGGTAGGAGCTCGCTGTCTTGCTTTTTGGGGGGGGGGGGGGGAGTATCCGGCGTATCCCGCTGCTCTCCGCCCAGGCTGTGCCCTGGAAGTTAGCACAGGGTTTCGGAAAGTTGTGGCGCTGAGCGGAGGAGCAGTAGGGGACTGTCACGGCGCCCCCGCGCGCGTGGGGAGGGCGGGGGACCACGCAGGGCGCGTGCGGGGGCGGAGGGGGTGCTGCTCTCCGGGGAGGCAGAAAGTCAAGTTTTCCTTTTGCGTCGAGTGGCTATTGGTGAGGGACTTTTGTCTCTTGTTTATTTTTGAAAGAAAGCCGCCGGATATCGGTTTTATTATAGAAGGGTAACTTATTTTGAATTGTAAATGTAAAGGAAGGAACAGACCAACTTAAGGAAATACTGTCCTGGCTTTGAGGAGGGAGGGGAGGTGTGAAGAGGGCATGCCTTGTCAGGGTGTGGCCGAGTGGAGACTTAAGAAATCCGAGAAGTTTCATCTCCCTTCGTGTTTGTGCTAAGGGAGAATGTCAGAGGGGTGACAGGAAGGCTTGCGTGCCTGGAGCCTAAGTGTACGGGTTGAAAACCAGTAAAGCAGCAGGAACGGAAAGTCTGAGGTTTTTTCGGGGCCCTCCATAGTGCGCTTCCCCCCTCCTCCCCCATGTGTAAATTTCATTTGTAAGGAATCTTCTGGTGGTTGGTAGTTTGGGCCTGCATATGCAAACGCTTGTAAACCACGATAGGTCGGGAAAGCTGCAAATGGAAGCAGCTGTTAAGCTCTCCCAGAGGATGAAGTTTCAGCTGCTTGAATCTGCTGCTCTAAGCCCTTGGAAATGCACCAGACTGTGGGCAGCAAAATAACAGGATCGTTCCAGATTTCTTAATATACTTTGCTGGATGCTGAAGAGGACGGAGTATAAAGTCACCGTCCAAGTGTATTGCTGAAGTGAGGTTAAAAGAAATCTCACAGTAGCAAACAAAAATGAGTAAGAAACACAGGAGTTGCGTAAGCTACAGACCAGCAAAGGGTTTAGAAGATTGTAGAGCAGGATTTCTCTTCCCAAGTAGTGTAAATTGGTAAGGACGCCTATAACTTAAAAAAGAATGGTGCCTCTTACAGTGCCTGGGACAAATAATTCTTTCCCATTTTAAAACTCTATTTGCCTTCTTTTCCTCATCCAATTAATAACCTAAAACGCTTCTCAGATTTTAAAGGGAAAAATGGTAAGCTTTAAGTGCAATGTCGTTGATCATGCAGCACCTAGAATGACAGAATTGGCTGTAAGTAGTTACCCTAAAATAGTAGTTTGAAGAAATAGATTGGGTAGTTTCATACATTGTGTTAAAGTTACTGTTGTTTATGTTTTATTACATAGTAACTTGTTGCTGTAAGTATCTGAAATATGCAGAAGGATATTTACTATAAACCTGCTAAAGACTACTATTTTGGAAAAAATGTATTACTTTAAGGATTAATTCTCCAAAGTAACTATGTTTCATTGTGCTTCTTCTACCCTTGTCAGCCTGAGAGAGAGGCAGAAAAAGATCTACATCTATTTTCTCAAAACTAGGTTCATGTGTTTTAAAAATGGCTTGTTCAACTCCATCTCTAAAGAAAATTCCATCTACTTTTATATAACTTTGGGTTCCATATTAGCCACTATGGTAGAGAGACACTTTTTTAAATGCAGTGATTGATTTTATTTTTTACAGTTGTGAAACAGCTTTTATTAGATCTGTAAGAAGTCTGGGTGGGGTGAGTTCTAGGTCCAACAGGTTATATAATTTTCAAAATTGGCCTTTATCTTTTTGATAGGTCCTTCCCTTTAAGGGGTTAGGGGGCTTTTATTAAATATAAAATAAAATTGACTTTGAATATTTTAATTTCTGTACCTTTATAAAACCAAGGTGTTAGTCTTGTAGGGTTTTTTTTTTTTTTTTTTTTTTTTTTAGGTTTTGATTTTGTTTTCTTAATTCTGAGGCATAAGGGGTGGCTGCTATTAATAAATGCTTTTTGTAGCCAATTGCTGTGCATTGGAAAGCATAACGTGGTGGGGCTAACTGTGATGCCAAACAAAGCAAACCGAAAACCTGTTACACTGGCAATATCTCTTTCCACCCCCCACCATTTCTCTATCATGAGTCAGTTTCTAGACCTAGTTGAATGGTAAGAGAAATTTTAGAGTGTGTTATTAAAATGCCTCAAAGGATATAAAAAAAAAGTTAACATAAGATGTTTAATTATATTTTTAGTGGCACTATTGGAGATTATTTCTTATACTGTAATAAGCAGAACTTTCTCTTAAAGATTGAGGACACAAACATGATTATAATAAACCTTTCAGGTTGATCTTATACAGTGGTCTGTGTTCGTGTGATGTGAAATCACAACACTGGAAATTTCGCTATGTCATTTATTATTTATTCTTATCACAATTGTATATTCTTCGCTTACTTGGCAATAAAGGCAATACTTTGATGTGATTATGGTTTACATACGTGACCTCCGTATTCACAACGTGAGTATACGCCTGAAGAGTCCTATATCCTGGGTGAAAACTCTCTTGTTGTTACAAAATGAGTAACACAAACCAGAGCTTTCATTCTTTCAGGTAAGTTTCAGATATCTTAAAGGTAAAATCTCAGCATTTAAAGCATTTCGATACAGTATGTTTACAACTGTCTATTCCTGTTAGGATACCGCAAATAGGGGCACTTGATCTCCTATTGACTGGGTATGCCTTCCTGTAATTAGAAATAGCTCAGTGTAACATAAACAGCCCCATGCTGTTAATCTTTTTAACCCAGATGTAAATTTAACTAGCCTTGGTTTCTTTCATGACTTCTTTTGTTGTTTATATTCATTTGGCATCTCCTGGCATCTTTAGATGTTTTACTGGCACAGAATAATACATAAATAATTGAGTAAAGTGTACCTATGGATTTCTCTCATGAAAGATTTTTTAACCTCTTGAACCCTGAAGTACAGGTATTTTCTTCAGAAGTAAATTAGTTAAGCAGTTTTTGCTTGCTTTAATTTTTTAAAGCAGTTTTTGCTTTTTAAAAAAAGGTATAAAAAAAGATTATTCTTGGTCTGATCTTGGAGACTGCTACAAGATCATTCTAGTGACCCAATTTGCTTTGATAGATTCCATATTTCATTCCAAATTCCAATTATGGAAGATTGTTCCATCAGAACTTTTGATATATTTGATTTTGTCTATCTCCAGTGGTTATAAGGAGACTACTGTACAGAATAATACATTAAAGTTAGGCTAAACAACTATTTTAAAACACACTTGACTTATTTCTTTAGTATTTTAACTATCCCTATTAAAAACAAGAATACAATGTAATTGAACCTATGTTTTCAGTTTGAGTTAATGCTCTTAAATCATGCTCTTATATTGCTATGCTGTAAACGATTAGGTATTCTCAGGATAAACCAAGAATCAAATTAGACCAAGTTATTGGGGATTTTACTAAGAAATGAGAAGACCTTTTGAATAACCGTTCTTTCAGAACTACCAATTTCAACTGGAAATATTTTCTTGTTAGACCATTTAGTAAGTAAGAAATCACTGTGGTAATGAAGCCTGTACTTTTCATCCCAGGAAAATTATATGCTTATATCATCCTAAAGGATTGGGGTAATTCACGGAACATGTTTGTACAAGACCTGTTGTGGTGCTTTAAAAAAAAAAACAAAAAACAAAAAACTGGAGTGTTAAGATTTTGCTTTGCTTTACAAGAATGTACGAGGATTCTTCTCCAGGGAGACTTTGCTAAGGAAATTGTAGGGAGTACTTTCCTTAGATAACAGCTACTAAAATACGTTGTACTAAACTGTAAGTTTTATTCTGTTTTAGGCAATTGGGTATGACAGCCTCCCTATTGCAAAAATAGACCCAAGGACTAGGAGATGAGATAACTTCCATTTTCCTTCTGAATTACAGATAGAGCCATGGAGATTTTGTGGGAGCTAGAACATGTTTTCATGCAAGTTACTTAACATTATACCAATGTTGTTTTCAAATCTATTACATTTTCTCAGTATGATAGTGAATTAGATTATATTCTTTCCACCAAGGAGGAAAATTAGAAATTTTCATATTGAATTAATGAGTGCATTTGGCTTGAGACTGAGGACAACATTGAAGTTTCTACTTTAAGTTTTGTGTAAAGTTGATAGCTGCTTCCAGTATAATAAATAAATTAATAAAATAAATAATAAATAAATTTAGCCAATTTATCTTGACATTTAGTGATTCTGAGTTCTACCTTTCTCTGTGTCAAAAGTGTGTTCTCAGTTATAATGAAATTGAAAGTAACATTAACGAATTCTAATAGTTTTGTGAAAATGTGGTTAGAAGGTTTGCCCTGGCTCTCGAGAGGCAGTCGGGTGACTCTCCTCCTGTCTCCAAGTTCAGTGACCTCCTGTTGGTCTCTTGAAATTACCCTGCTAGGATTATTTATGCCACAGAAATGAGCAAATGCTACTATTCAGGGATTTCTTCTTCTTCTTGGAGAGCTAACTATTAATTATTTACTAGTATACCCCTGGAAATATTAATGAGAAGATAAATAACTTGAAAAAAAATCCATTATGTTGAGGTTGTACATACATTAGATGTGCATTCCTGTGAAGGTAGCCACATAACTAGCCATTAATATGTTTTACATGGCAAGACACTTGGCGGTTGGCTGCTTCTGGTTTGGGCTTGGCAGCTCCATGATACCGGAGCTGGTGTCTCTGTGATGGCCTTGGCATTTTCTTTCTGATGACTCATTGACAGCTATTGTTCAGGCACGACCAGAAGAAAGAAAAAGAACTACCAGTGGGATCTCTTCCAGACTCCCTCCAACAGACTGCTGCTTAGGTCTCATGGCAAATACTGTATTACAGGACCATGCTTGGATGAAGCTCACGCTAAGACGGTGAATATTTGGCTTGTAGAGCCTCTACTGAATTTTGGGAAGAGGAGGGAAGTGGTGCTAGGATATTCAGTTAGGG